CTTCGATCCTACGGGCGCTGCACTGGGTGATTGACTTCTGGCAGGACAAAGGAGTTACTGGGGTGGCAGTGAAAGTACAGGGTAAGGGGGCTAAACTATTGAGAGGCAAGGTAGAACCTGGATGGAAAGCTGTTTCACTGGAATTGCTTGAGGTGTTTGTTTCGTACGAGTTGGAAAATACCTTTGTATTTGCCGCGGGGTGTTTGCTGCGTCAACGAGTGGGTATCCCCATGGGCAAATCATCCAGCCCGGCTTTGGCCTGTTTACTTTGTGCCTTCAACGAGTTTGTTTTTCTCAATAGCCTTGGTTTGGATCGTTCTTTGTTTCATGGCTTTTGGTTGGTGGACGACGTTTCAGTTTTTGTGATATGTAAGGCTAAGGATAGTTGCTCTCGCAGTCATGGGTTTTCTCTGATCAAGTCCTTCAGCAAGTGTTACGATAGCAATTTGGTGCTTGAAAGGACCAGCGATGGATTCTTTTGGGACTATCTCGAGTGCTTATTGGCGATTTCGGAATGGAAGACTGGGGTGATGTGTCTATCTATGATGAAGAATCAGCGCGATGATGTTAACGGTCCTCTTCGCTTTCAGACTATTCGAGATTTTTCTTCGTTTTCGAGTAAGCAACAGAAGATGTCGGTTATTAGTTCCTTCTTTCATCGGGAAAAAAACGTATTCCTCCGTTGAAGGGGTGGTGCTTCCTTTTTTGTTTTTCATTCAAGTGCGAGCTGTGGAGGAGGGGGTAGCTGGATGACCTGTTCGATTGCGCTCTGATTAGCTTCTGCAGGAAGTATGGGGGTTTGTGGAGGGACTGGATCCCGTGCTTGACCGGTTGGGGTCGATGGTTCTTGAATTAGGTGTACTGTTTTGGGCCTCCGTGGTAGGGGGTTCTCTTGGTGAATTCTCGTGGCACCTTTGATGTTTTCCTGATGGAAGGACAGATGGCAGTATGCGAAGTTGATGTTTTGTGTCTTTTCTTTTCCTTTTTGTTGTTTTTTTCTTGCTTTCGTTTTCTGGTTCTGAGATTCTTGTGGTACCTTTTGGGCCGAGGTGCCGGTTTGTTGTTTTCCTGGTACAAGGACAGATGGCGGAATGCGAAGTTGGAGTTTTGTTTTTTGTTTTTGTTGTTTTTTCTTTCGTCCCGTGTTGAAAGTGGTATCGCTGTCGACTTCGAAGCTACTGATTACGAGCTGCTACATGGTAGGAAGTGTTTATGGTCTTCTTTTTAGGCCCAGTTCCGAGATTGGAGAGATGTTCGAGAAGCCACTTTTGGATTCGAGAAGATTTGGGTCACGTATTGTTGAGTTTCCGGACGATTTCTTAGGCCCGGTGCCGGGATTGAATTGTGTTCTTGGGTTCGAGATGTTCTTTGGCTACGAGTTGTTGTAGTGGTACGTCTTTTTGCCCTTTTCTAGTGAGGTTTGCGATGTTTTTTTACTGGCTTTGGACGCAAGTTGCTTTGTGATAGTAGTGAATCTGGTCCTCTTTGATGATCACGAAGTGGTAGGTTGATGGCTTTCCGGTCGGTCTGAGAGCCTCTCGTGGTATCTGGCCTTCCGTAGCTGGTGGTACTTAAGTCTTTGTTGTCATGTCCTGGCTACCGACTTAGACCCCTGATGAGTCCTGGTTGGCGGCCAGGTGAAACAGGTCGGGTTGTAACGCCGCGCGGAGCTTTGATTCCGCTTCTTGTTCATCACACTTATTTTTTCAATACAGTCGCGTTCGGGACATGACTCTCTTTGACTCTTCTTCCTCCTATCTACCCTCTCCTACCTCTTCTTCTTTGCAGCTATCGTGGATGTTCTGAGTGCCGATTGCTTAAAGTTGGACTTTTCGTTTTTCTGCTATCTATTTGCATGCTTTACTTGTCACACAAGCGCTGTCCTGGCCTGAAGTCTTTTTTTTTTTTTTTCGGGATCCTTGGCTCTTTTTTGACCCGTCTGGTTTTGCTGGGCGGCCCCCCTCTGCCCAACTGGCCAGCGCATGCCTGGCCGGGCGACGGCCCAACATAGTGTTATGCAGGGTTATAAATCAAAGAACTTTTGGCTGAGTGTTACTCTGAAATTCGTTATTAAATCGAGAATAGAATCAATAGATTCAATAGAAAATAAAAACAAATAATAAAATCACGGCGCACCCTTTGAGACCTTTAACCCCCTCTGAACCCCGTTTATACCCCCACAGGCGCCCTGAAATGAGACAGCACCAGATTCAGAGGTAAAGCTGGGTTGTGCGCGTCTCAGTGGGTGCAGAAATCTCCATGATCATGCCACAATGAGTTCTCCCCCCCTCGCCCTTTTTCCTGGCCTCATTTATTGGGTTGCCTGATCCTGGCAGGTGGGTCCAGGCTGCACTGGGCTGGGTGGCCTTGCCAGGGAAGTGGTCCAGGGCCACTCTGGTAACCTAGCCACTGACATATGGATGAACTCGTTCTAGTGGGTTATATTTTCATCATACCGTCAATTGTTCTAAGTTCATTATTAATCGTCTTTGAAGTTTTATGTTCATTTGGACCATTTCTGGATTTGCGGATGGTCCCATTGGTCACTGGATAAGAGATTGCTCTACCCGTGCGATAGATGGGAACATGGGGCGAAAATTGTGGGACATGGAAAAGCAGGAAAAAGAAGGTTAAAGAACATCTTAAACCACCAGTACGTCTCCCAGCTCTTTTCCAGAAATGCGGCGTGCATGCTGCCGCATTATTTAGGGTGTACCACAGTGCCATTTCACTGGAAATTCATCACTCAAAATGGGCCTCACATGTGACCCGTTTTGCCTGGATGGATGCCTAGCTAAATGGCGCCCTGGTACATCCTGCAGGACATGGCAGCATGCACGGCTCAGTTCTGCAAAATGGCTGGGTAACATACTGGTGGTTTAAATAGCTGGAGAGACAACCACCCCCCTGCCCCTGCCCCCCGGCGCCCCGCCCACGGCCTGCTAGTGACACACAATTGGTCATCCCGAAAGAGGCACCTACTATCTCTCCAGGAAAAAACTAGAGCCATTGGAGTGGGTCGCGGCGCCCTCATTGAATGTGAAAACAAAACATGGCCATTGTATGGACCCGTGATGTGGAGGAAGAGACATCCACCACTTGCACATTTGTTGGGAATTGCTGCTAGGCCCTTTGGGTGGTGGTGCATGGCCTTCCGGAGTTGGTGGACCCCTACTGTCTGCTTGTGACACGATTGATTGTCGCAAAAGAGGCACCAACTGCCCCTGCAGTAAGAAACAAGGACCGATGGAGTGGGTCACTGGACACTCAATGAATGTGAAAAAAGCTAGAAGCATACATGCGCCACCCATCGTGCGCAAGCATGGCGCACGTGTGGCGCATAGCGCACGCGCACGGTCCTGCCTCCCTGAAAATAGGGGGTCATCCAGGTCATTGAAACAATTGGGGAGGGGCAGGGTGTGGTGGCACCCTGCCCTTGTCCCTCGGGGTCTTCCAGGTCAGGTAGATTCATGATGAGACTCGTAATGATTTCTTTAGCGTTGGTTCTCTCTACCCAACTCACCATGCATGCAATCTCACATCAAGCGTCGAGCAAACAAGGCAACATTCACACTACATGAGCTCAGAGCTCCGGTGCTGTTTCTGGCTTAAGCTATTCCAGGTCGTATGGTGCTGTGTGAGCTATTTAAAAAGAAGAAGAGGATGTTGGTGATGGCAGATTGTGCAGAATGAGCACGATATCTCTCCATAAAAAAGTGGAAAGATACACCCTAGGGTAGACTCACCTGCCTGCAGATAAGGGGCTTGGCGGTGGATGGCCTTCTGGAGTCGGTGGAGTGAAAGAAAGGAAGATAACGAATTCAACTCTTTGAATTAGTGCAGACCCCGTCTGGCCTCTACCTCATCCAAACTCATGGCAGGAACAATGTGAGGTGGGGTCAGAAAATGCACAGTCTTCATGAAAATGGCCTCCGATTAGACGACATCTTGTATTCACTCAGAACAATAATGGAAAGGAAAAAAAAAAAACTATCACAGTATCACTACAAAAAAAGGCGTGATAATTGTACGTCTTTCCTGTCAGATCTGCATCCACTGTACCAGGCGGTCGCACACAAACAGGGGGTTCTCAACTTCTCAGTTCTAGCTTATCTCATGGCTAGTGGGACCGTGCCCCTGTGAGCTCTCACGCAGGGGGCATGCTAATCCTCTGTGTATCATTCCAATTTTCAGACTGTTCGATTTACTGTCTTCTGCAGCTTTGCGCGGACAGCAAGTGCTTAACTATGTGTCAAAGTTGGGCACTCTGTCTGCCATCTGGTGGTAGAGTATGTTGCACTCTACAGTGCCTGTGACGGAAATATTTCCTTTCCTTCACACAATTCTTCTGTTACTCGATCGTTTGGAGTTCTCAAGTTTTGCAGAATAAACCTTTGGCCTCAAGTCTGCTATTTGGGGTATCTTGCAGTCTAAATACAGCTATAATGACCGTACGTCATATTCGGGGGAAGAAGGTAGTTGTAACTTTTATGCTGGCTTGTGTAAAAGTGCAAAGAAATGTTGAGAATGCTGCTGAGTGGTGACCACACTTGTTCTGCCTCTTCTGCAGATCCGAGACTTCGAGCGGCTTGGCCTGAGCTTGAGCCCTGAAACGCGTGCGGAGGTTGAGAGGCTGAAGACAAGAATGGGCGAACTTTCCATCCAGTATCAGAGGAACCTGAACGAGGAGAACACTATCCTCCACCTCACAGAGGAAGAGCTAGCTGGCATGCCAGAGGATTTTATAAAGGCAAGAGAGAATGTGGAGTGTTGATAAGTGGTTCACAAAAGCACAGATTATTCACGAAAGCTGCGGAAAGCACACATTAATCGAGTTCTCTCGATTCCGTAACCCAACACCATGCTCTCTCTCTCTTTTTCTTTTTCTTTTTTGAAATTTTATTGTCATTAGTACTCATTAGAGTCATTACTTCTGTTTTTCTTACAGTGAACAGCCCCTACCCTTTTCTGAATCAGGATTGAAAATTTGGAACTCATCATTTGTCCAGTAAGAGTTGCAGGTGTGTACCTCATGCTTCGTATTCTTCTCTCTTTCTCTTTTTCACTAACTGCTCTCATTCCCGTAACTGAACACCAGGCTCTCTTTTCTTTAATATTATTACGAGTATCATTTTTGTTAAAAGGGATAGCCCCTAACCTCATTTTATAGGGCTGATTACATCAGGATTCAAACTCATCATCTGTTCATCGACCGTTACATGTGTACCATTCAGCCACATGGCTGTGTGGAACACCATGCTCTGTATGCTTCTCTCTTTCTTTCTTCGTCAGATTCTGCATCAGTACCCTGCTGTTTCATTTTTGTTGTCTTTGCCACCCTCACCTGTGAGAAATGGTTCAGAAATGGACCTCATACGAACTGCTCATGATGAACAAACATGAACAAAGAACGGATGCAAGTCTGTCATCTTGCGACCATTTCTATCGCAATCAAGCAAAGTGTGCGAAGGTTGTCATTTTGGCCACTTCTCAGACACTGCAAGTGATCTGGGGCCATATCCTTGCCTGCAACGGGGTTGCAGGCTGATCATGCATGTGAATGTTGGGGGGCAAACAGCTGGTGGCTGTCTCTCTCCGCAACCGCTCGTTGTTCACACGCTCCTCCAACTCTTTCTGGTACTCTTCTTAGGACCTACTCCCACTTTTTCTTTCCTTGAATGTACAGAGCTGCCATTATACCAGATTCAGTTGACAATGTCAAAGTTTGAGTATCCTCTTAGCCTCAATACTCTCCTCATATATCTTCTCGTTTCCTACTCGTCCTCTTCTGCTTCCCTCTCGTTCTTATTGTCCTCCGAGCTGTCTTCCTCTTGTCCTTACTTCGCTCGCTCTCTTCCTCACTCTTGCCCTTCTCCTGTGTCTTCATCCTCACTGCTACCTTGTCCTAGTTTTTCTTTAGCCATCACCACAAACCCACCCCCATCCCCCCCACCGTCCTGCCACCTCGGGGTTCAGGTTGTCATTTCCTCCTCTTGATCATCTTGACCACTTCCTGGCCCTTCGGCTTGTCATGCTTGCCATCATACTTCCAAGTCTTCTTTGCCTTCCGCACAGCTGCGCAATTGTTCTCATTTATGTCCTCGCCATGATTCCCAGCTGTTGTCCTTGTTCCTGATCCTGAATCTGGCCCTTGCCCTCACCCTTGCTGTTGCCCTCACCCTCTCTCTGGCACTCACTGTTACCCTTGCCCTTCCCATAAACCTTGGCCTCAACCTCCTCAACCTCGTACCAAATCTCCTGTCCTTACCCTTGTTCTCATCCTTGTGCGTGTCTCTGTCTGCACCCATGTCATTACCTGCATCTGTCTCCATTGTTTAGCCCATCCCCTGTCCGTGGGATCATCATCATTGACACCCTCGTCTTCTTTGCCGTCAACCTTCAAAGTTAGCCATCCTCCAGATTCCTCCTTGCTCTGTTATCTTTATACTTGGCTTTGTCTCAGGCCTTGGTAGAGCACTTGTTAGGGTTCTAATTCCTACTCTGTTTCGACCTTCAAAGTTAGCGATCCTCTTTGCTCTGTTATCTTTATACTCGGCTTCGTCTCAGGCCTTTGTAGAGCACTTGTTAGGGCTCTAATTCCTACACTGTGTCCTCAGGACGAGGTACTCTTCCCTGCGACAGTTCAGCAAGACTTCATCCAGTCCCAACACACTTTGCATGCTTGCAATTGGTTGAAAGCAATCACAATCGATTGGAAACTTTGCTGAGAGGTGAAATTGAACATGTGCACACGAGGACTCCATATGACAGAGAAATTTCTCTGTGTGAGGGCACCCAGCTATTGTGATTACACAGCATCAAGTGGAATTTGAAAGGATGCCATGGACTGCTAGAACAGGCTCGTCGGCAGACCACTGACACGTTAACTTATGTCGATGGGCACCCACTAAGACGCCATACACCCCCCCAACAC